GAGGATGGAGGCGGAATAAGAGAACACCAATTCCATTGCAGGCGCTGGGCTGGCATGTCACACATGCTTTTCCCGTTTAATTGGCACAACACCCCCGAGGTAAGTATTACGCTCCCACTGATGGGACACTGAGGCCTGGAGTGACCTGTATGAGGGCACCTTAGTAAATGATGCCCCTAGACCAGCAGTCGGCAAACTCATTAGCCAACAGAGCCAAATATCAACAGTCCAACGACTGAAATTTCTTTTGAGAGCCACATTTTTTAAACTTAAACTATATAGGTAGGTACATTGTTATTAACTTAATTAGGGCACTCCTAAGCTGGCCTTTGCTAAAAACGTCCTCAATCTGATTGAGGTACGTTCACTGAGGTCGACCCCTTCCAACTCTCCCATCCACACTCGTCTTGTATACTTGTCTCTATCTCCTTTCCGAAAACCGACTTCTGCGCCTGGGCCATGAAGTTTCAATCGCACTGTATGTGCACGCCCGCACGTGATATTTTGTGGAAGAGCCACACTCAAGGGGCCAAAGAGCCACATGTGGCTCGCGAGCCGCGGTTTGCCAACCACTGCCCTAGACCCAGGTTTGCGTAGTGCAAAACCGTTGTCATTTTCCCAGCCCAATTTCTCCCAGAGTCATGGCTCCAAATGATAGCCTGGGCATTATGGATGGTGTAACCTGCTCTTTAGAGTCAATCAGCATTGAGCCCTGACCGGGTGACTGAGTGGATAGAGCGTCGGTCTGCGGACTGAAGGGTCCCGGTTCGATTCCAGTGAAGGGCATGTACCTTGGTTGCCGGCACATCCCCAGTAGGGGGTATGCAGGAGACAGCTGATGGATGTTTCTCCCTCATCGATGTTTCTCTGTCTATCCCTCTCCCTTCCTCTCTGTACGCCAGGCTGGCAATAGTCAATCAGCATTGAAGAGCAGTGGGCCTGGGGACAGGCATGAGGGGCAGCACCCACGCAGCTGCACGCTCGTCCAGAGAACCTGAGTGCAGGGGCAGGAAGCTCAGGTTCTAGTCCCACTTCTCGTACTAAAACTGTGGCTTTAACCAAGTCCCCTAATCTCACTGGGCCTCCATTTTTCTTAAGTACAAACTGAATACCACCCTCGGTCTGCCAAGGACAAACAGTGCTTGATTAATTATAATGCTAACCTGAAAGTCTGGCGCTGGGGACTCTCAATGCTGCCTGGCCCGTGTACCTCACAAGGTTGATGTGGAGAAGGCATGGCCGACAAAGGTGAACTGCCCGTGAACACTGATGCTCCACAGCTGACCATCGCTGAAACAATATAACCGGGGCATCCTCACACCTGCCACGGGGAGGCCCCACCAGAATGGCCTCCTGTGAACTTCACCCTCTTCCCTAGGAACGCTGGGCTCAAGGACTCCAAGTCTGGCTGGGCCCAGGCCCCTGGAACCCCCCCCCCCGCCAGGCTGGCATGTCCAAACAGGCATCAACCAGGTGATGCTGGGAAGGAAGGGGAGCGAGTCCTGCAGAGAGAACTGTCTCGCCTCCCTCCAGGTCCCTGTGTACTCTGCCAGCCAGCTGGCACTCAGCCGTGAGGGGGCAGGGTGCCACCTGGTACCGCATCCAGCACTGGGTTTCACCCTGTGGGCTGTTACGTCACGCACCTCAGGTTAGGAGGTGGAGGGTAGAGTAGGGTCCAGATTGGATGAGTGGGTGGGAAGAACCTTCCACTGTTGGGAAAAGGCAGCAGCCCCCCAAGACTCCCACCAACTCCCATCCGCTCCAGCCCCGGGAAGAGGAAGGACTCCGATCTGGGGAACAGTGAATCACCCAGCACTCCGGCACAATGACCCCTCCGGGAGGGTGGAGAAGCTCGTCTGACAACTGCCTACACACCTGGCAGTTCCAAGAGCAGCAAACAAACCAGTCCGGCCCCGGCCCCCATTTTGCATAAGATTGCACTCCACAAAAACATCGTCCAAGGAGCACTTGTTGATCGATACCAATTGTGAACACCAAGGTTTGGGCCACGAAAGAACGAGGAGGTCCCTCGGAAGGCACTGTGGATAAAGCGCTTTGTGGAAACTGGTACCAAGTTGTCCCGAGGCTGGAAGGGGCAGTGAGTGGGGGGCCACACAGATACTTCCATGAACAGATCTGTTTCAAAAGAAAGTTAAGCCAAAGCGTTTGACCCTATATACATACCAAAGGGAACGCGTTAGTCACTAGGTGATGGTCGGGTTCCTGTTTATGCTAATCGGCGAGTGCACGCGTTCTAAGAGGGAGGCGCACCGTTCGCGCGGGCGGAGCGGGGTCACGTGCGGCGGTCT